GGGTTAGGGGTGCTGGAACTCCAAAATCACAACACATGGATCCTTCCCAAAAGAATTCGACCCAAGCCTTGTTTCAGCCAAAGACGAGGTTTATTAGAACATTGGTCGTATTGGGCAAGCACTTAAGGAGTCTGAATGTTAGTGAGCTATTGGCTAGATCATAAGAATCTGAGCATCTTAATGGAGACAAGATGGACCTTATACACAGAAAGACTGTGGGAGTGATCTAGGAGTGGCCAAGTAGTCGGGGGTGGGGGGTAGGGTGGGTAGGGGGGCTCTTTGAGGTAATAGAAAGCCTGGGACCTGGACCAACTGAGAATGGAGCCTAGGTAGGATTAAGGGTGGGAAGTGGCCATAGGAGGTAAGACAATGGAGGGCTAGGGCAACAGAATTGGGAGATTGGGCATAGCCACAATGAAAGGCCAGTTGATGGGATTATAGCCTCGGGTGAACGCCAGAGATTTGGCCATGGGGGAAAGTCTAGGGTTTTTCCTTTCTGGGGTCCAGATCCCAACCCCATCATTCCTAGCTGAAAGGTCAGTTCTCCAGCAATTATGCCAGGATCCTCCCTAGAGGAAACAGAAACTGAATAAAAATTGAGTAGTTTGGCCTTCTCTTGTGAGTTATCAGATTCCCTTGTTTTCTAATAAGAAACCTCTTTTTCAATCAGTTTGGTCTCAACTGTCCCATAGTCATTCAGACCTAATACCTTTGCCTTCACCTCCACCTGACCTGTTTTTTTCCCTTCTACCTGTCCAAATCCTACCTGGGCATGCTTTAAGAGCCAGCTCAAGGCCCACAAAATACACAAAACCTAAAACAATGCCTTGAACCCAGTAGGCACTTAACAAATATATCCACAAATACAGCAAGAATTTGTCATGTGCTGTACCTACATTTTAGCAAAACATTTTTAAAAGTTCCTCATCCTATCTTCATGGGAAAAAAATTGTGTACTAGAAGATAGTATAGTTGGGTAGATTTAGAATAGACTGGCAGAAACATTATTAATTATTCCATTTCACCCTGCAAGGATGTCCTGTGGATTGTTTCTGGGTTCTTCCCTTGGTCCTTGGCTATTTAATATTTTTATCAATAACTTGGATAAAGGCATAAAGGTCATGCTTATAAAATATGAAGGAGACATAAATGTGAAAGGAACCAAGAGCATGTTGGACAGTAGAGTCAGGATCTAAAAATATCTAAGCTGAAATGATAGATGGACTAAAAAAAAATAAACTGGGAAGGCATAGGATGGGGGTGGAGGCAGCTAGGTGGAGCAGTGGATAGAGTGCTGGGCATGAAATCAGGAAGATCTGCATTCAAATGTGGCCTTAGACACTAGCTGTGTGACCCTGGGCAAGTCACTTAACTCTGTTTACCTCAGTTTCCTCATACATAAAAAGAGCTGGAGAAGGAAACGGAAAACCACTCCAGTATCTTTGCCAAGAAAACCCCAAATGAGGTCACAAAGAGTCAGATGACTGAAATGACTAAACAACAACAAAAACATAAGATGGGGGATTTACGAGTAGACAACTGTTTATGAGGAATAGAGCCAGGAGTTTTAGTGGACCGTAAGCTTAATATGAGTCAAAAGTGTGACGGATCACACAAAAAAACCTAACATGATCATAGGTTGCATTAAAAGAAATTTAGTGGGCTCCTTTGGGGATGCCTCAGAAGGAGCAAGGTAAGCCCCAGCTCTCTTTTGGATCCAAGAGAAGGTGAGAATGACTTAGATAAGCTTTGAAGTCCTCTTTGCCCCACAGATAAAGCCTTCATTCTGGCTTTGGCTCAAATTCATTGCTAGCTCACACACTAGGCAGTCTGTGCAGAGGTCGGTGTCTGATAGAGAAATTCAGGGGGTACAACACACAGAGAGCTACCTAAAGAGAACTGCATCCATGCAGTTCTCTAGGACAGTGGGCTCCAGCACATGCCTCTATCCACAAACATTTTAAGCATGCATCTCAATATGTGTATATTTACTCATAAGTTGTATGCATGTACTACTATAGTAATAATTCTACAGATTAGAAAACTTACACAAGCATGGAAATTTTAAGAGTGTGAGATAAAGATGAAATGACTGATCCTAGACTCACACTGGGGAGTCTCTAGAGCTTACTGAGTAGAGGGGTAACACAGTCAGATCTAAGTTTTAGGAAATCACATGTGCAGAGAGGGTGGATCTGAATGAAAGAGACCTGAGGCAGGGAAATCAATTAGGTGGTTCTTATAATGTGAGGACATGAACTAGGATGGTGACTGTGTGAGTAGAGAGAATGGGACAGATATGAAAGATATTGAGGCAGTAAAACGAGATTTGGTTACTGCTTGGTTATGGATTTCTTGAGACAGACTGGAAGGCCATCACCTAAGCCAGGGGTGGGGAACCTGCGGCTTTTTCATGGAATCCAAACATTCTGTGAAGTTTTGGATTCCATCAAAGGACTGCACTTGAGGACCTAGAGGGCCACGGGTTCCCCACCCCAACTAAGCCTTCCACCTCTCACGATACGAAGGTTAGGGTGAAGGTTAGGAGTGATATTTACAAGTGGCTAGGGCATTTAGTCCTGTGTGGTGCCCTACCTTGCAAGATGGGTTTTTTGTTTTGTTTTGTTTGTTGTTGTTTTTACTCTTGGGTCCTGGTAAATGTGGCATTTGGTCTATGAATATGTCTGCTAACAACTTGACTTTTTTGTGTGGATAAAAGAGGCATTCACCATAGAGGTAGACTTTCTCTCTTATCCACAAGCAGTCTTAATCAACAATAATGAGAGGCAGAGATGATAATGGCTAGCAAGTTGGCCTTGGAGTCAGAAAGATGCTGGGTTCTAGTGCTACATCTGACATATATTTGCTGTGTGACCTTGGCAAGTCATTTAACCTCTGGGTGCTATAAATTACAGATTATTGCTGTTCAGTCATTTTCAGTTGTGCCCAACTCTTCATGAGCCCATTTGGAGTTTTCTTGTCAAAATGGTTTGCTGTTTCCTTCTCATTTTGCAGATGAGGAAACTGAGGCAAATGGGATTAACTGACTTGCCCAGGGTCACACAGCTAATAAGTGTCTGAGGCCAGATTTGAACTCAACAACAGGCTCCATCCACTGTGCCACCTAGCAGACTTAAGTCAAAGAGCAGATGGAACTCATCTGCTTTCAAAGAGGGTGGCTCCTTACTTGGAGCTCCCTAAGCCAAGGAAATCATTGATCTGGTCCAAAAAGATAATGGATGAAAGTTTAGTGTTCCAAAGGAAAGGCAGTACATCTTTCTTCACAATGCCATCTATAGTTACATTTCTCAGCTCTTTCTGCCTGTGCCCAAACAAAACTTAGAGCCTGTGAAACTTGGTTTGGTGCTTGCTTTACTTAACTGTTGCTTCTTTTCTCTCCATTCAAAGTTTTGCTTCCAAGATAATTCACAGACCAAAGACTTTTTCTACCTATCAGCCAGTGCTAGCCAACGTTCTCTTGATGTTGGCACAAGCACCCGTCTGTCACAGCCTGCAGAATTCAGGCAGGTGTCCAGCTTGTTCCTCTGCTGCTCCCTCAGTGCACCCAGATCCACCACGGTCGTCCAAGACTGCATGAGTAAATATTTAACAGACTCAGAGGCACCTCAGCACTGTAGGACTTTGGGGGGAAAAAAAACCCTGAGAAACAAGCCTGCTTTGGCATCGACATGCTTCTAGCGTGACAGAGCATATGTCTTGATGGGAGATGTTGTCAACAGACTGGGCAACCTGTTGTTTTTTAAAATTAACAATCATTATTTCTACTCAAACTCAGAAACAACAATCAGATGTGGCAGACCACTCAGAGTAAAAAAATAAAAGATTTCCCCTGACAGGCTTAGATAAGAAAGCAGAAGGACACCGGATGAGGTGCTGTGGTTTTCTCTGGCCTACAGGGCCCCAGTGGAGTTCATGAGGTAAATATACGGTATTTTAATGGCTATAACAAAAGATGGGTGTCTCAACAGAAGAAAGAAGATGTCACTGAAGGGATGGGCCTGGCAGGATGCCACCGGGGTCAATACGTTAAGACTCCTTGTGACAATCAGAGGCTGGGAATTCTTTCCCTAGAAAACCACCCTCCTTGGAAATGCCCTCTGCTACCAGTGCCTGGGAGCATGGATAGGGAATTTGAAAAGTAGCCCAAATGCCAAGTAGGCCCCAGGGGAGGGATAAGGGCCGTCTCCAAGGTAACCGAAAGCTAAATCATCTAGGGCTTTATGGAGGAATCACAGACTCTTGAATTGCACCCTAGGGCAAAGAGACTGCAGAGATGGCCCCTCTAGGTGAAGGTATCCCAGCACAGGGCAGAACATACTCCACCTTGCCTAGCACACAAAGCTGGAAGGGTCAGTCACTGAATTCTGCATCGGCTTCTGGACCCGTTTAATTAAAGCTATAGGTAAATTACCTGGACTGCTGTCAAGGGGTCCCAAGAGCATTGAGGCTTCAGGAAGACTTCTAGTACAATGATTAGAGTGTTAGCTCTTGAATCAGAGGGCCCATCTCTGACTCCTACTACCTCTGGGACTCTGGGCAAATCTCTTAACTTTCTTGGCCTCAGTTTCTTTATCAGTAAAAGGAGAGGGGGGTTGGACTAGATGGTCTCTGAAATTTCTTCTGTCTCCAGGTGGACGATCCCACAGGGATGGGGGCAGACGTCCTCTAGGCCTGCTGTCCTTGCCGAGGCTGTGCTTTAGGGATTTTCTCGTTTCTTGTCATCTTTGTTGTCATTTTGTGTGTTTTCAGTCGTGTCTGGCTCTTCGTGACCCCATTGTGGGGTTTTCTTGGCAAAGTGGTTTGCCACTTCCTTTGGTTTGACATTTCCTTCTCCAGTTTGTTTTACAGATGAGGGAACTGAGGCAAACAGGGTTCAGTGACTTACCCAAGGTCACATAGAGAGTGTATGAGGTCAGATTTAAACTCAGGAAGATGAATCTTGCTGACTCCAGGGCCATTGCTCTATCCACCGCACCACCCAGCTGCTGGCTTTTTGTAGTAGCTGCAGCCCCTCTTTGGAAAGAGGTTGGAACATTCCTTAGACCTAAGAAGAAAACAATACATTTGTAGAGTCCTTGGGATGGCAGAGGGCAGAATGGGGAGTCTAGTTCTACATTGGGCCTCAGAATGTCTTGCCTTGGGGCAGCTAGGTGGCTCAGTGGACAGAGCTCTGGCCTTGGAGTCCGGAGGACCTGAGTTCAAATCTGGCCTCGGACACTTGACCCTTACTAGTTGTGTGACCCTGGGCAAGTCACTTAACGCCGACTGCCTAAGCAAAAAACAAAACCAGAAGGTCTTGCCTTAAGAATAGCAACAGCCACTGACTTTAAATAGCGCTCAGAGGTTTATAGAGCATTTTATATCCAGTCTTATTTAGTCCTCACTGTAAGGTATTTTGAAGGAACTAGCTGGTTCAGTGAATGGATAGAGCTCCAGGCCTAGAGCCAGGAAGACCTGAGTTCAATCTGGCCTTATATCTTTATTAGATGTGTGATCCTGGGCAAGTCCTTAACCCCTGTTTGCCTCAGTTTCCTCCCCTTCAAGATGGGGATTAATAATTGCACCTACCTCTCAGGTTTGTTGTCAGGATCGGTGAGATAATCATTGTAAATCACTTAGCACAGTGCCTGGCACATAGTGAGTGCTATATAAAATGTCAGCTATTATTACTTGTTATCCCACTTTGCAGTTGAGAAAACTGAGGCTGAGACATTAAGTGACTGGACCAGGATCACACGGCTAATAAGTTCCAGAAGCAGAATTTTAACTCCAGTCTTCCTGCCTCCCAATCCACTGTACCACCTAGTCTCTTGTTCTTTAATATTTGTAATCAGAGGACCTGGATTCATATGCTAGTTCTGCTATTTTATTTAAGAAAAGAGGTAGTAGAGTACATTGGGAAGAACAGTAGCTCGGGAGTTTGGAAGGCTACAATTCAAATCCCCCCTTTGATGCTTACTACATTGGTGACATTGGGGAAATCACCCCAGCCCACTAGGTTTTCCTTTTCTCATCTGTCAAATGCAGGTTTAGAAGGAGATGGATTCTGCAGTCCCTCCTAACATTAAATCAGTGATCCCATACATTAGCTGTGTGACCTTAGGCAAGCCATGTAACCTCTGGGCTGCAGTTTCCTCATCCATTAAATAATGGACTAGATCGTAGCTGAGGTCCCTTCCAGCCCTAAATCTACGATCCTACCATTCCCAGAAGAAGCTGGTACTCACCCAGATGTGATAATTCACAGCTAAGCAGCTTTCTTGAGTGTTAGCATTGTTTTTGATAACTGGGCTAAACCTCAATGGCTTCCTTTTCTCCTCCAGACCCCTAAAACCCAATCGACCAGCAGGTCATTTGTAGGGCTTATTCAAATCTTTGATGATGAATGAAAACCCTGCCTGATGAAGAGCCATCTCTCATCGAGTCAGGGTGGGAGTAGGATTTTTGTAAAATTGTAAAGGTGGAGCCTCGTTGTCCTCTACAGACTCCAAGGAAACCAGGGAGCAGAAAGACCATTTCTTCGTTCTGAGCACTGCTGCTCGGTTACTATAGCAAGCAACCCTTCAAAGCATGCTGGGGTGGAGCTAGCAAAAAGGCATTATCGCAAGGCATTTATATAGTAATGCTCTTTACATCCATTATCTTATTTGATCCTGACAACAGCACTGCATTAGCTCTCAATGCAGGAGAATGTCTGCTTGTCACTTCCCTGGGAGCAAAAAGAGTTAATAGTTTCCCTGAATGCTTAATTTCCTACCAGGGATTAATTTGAGTACTGGGAAGAATAGAGCCCTTTATGTCTTACACACTCTATACACTAGGCTAGTGTTTCTCAACCAGTGAACCAGGTCATATCAGTGCATCATAAAAACCTAACCATTGCATGCGTCATACATAGAAAGCCGTGCTCTCCTTGAGGCTCAGGCATCAATTTCATTAGCAGGGTGCATTTCCTCTGGGACTGCTCATGTCTGTGTGCCTTGCAGTCTAGCCTCCCCTTCTTCATCTCTGCCTTTCCCTCCCTTCCCCTTCCTCTTATCCTTTCATTTCCCCTTCCTCATGCTTCTCCTCCCTCCTCTTTATGGAGAATGAATTTGAGGTTATATATAGTTTATCTAGGCAGTTCAGGAATCCAATAATTTATGGCATAGTGGGAAGACGGCTGGCTTGTCTAGGACTAGATGGTCTACGTTCATATTCCACTTCTGATTTTTGGTTCTCTGTCTTATCACCACCCACCGCCCCTCTGATTGGAAGGTGGAGCCATGAACTCTCAAACCTCTATTCAAAGAGCAAGCTCGGGGCAGCTAGGTGGCACAATAGATAGAACACCTGCCCTGAAGTCAGGAGGACCTGAGTTCAAATCTGGCCTCAGACCAAACACTTGACATTAGCTGTGTGACCTTGGGCAAGTCACTGAACCCCAATTGCCTAAAGAGAGAGAGAGAGAGAGAGAGAGAGAGAGAGAGAGAGAGAGAGAGAGAGAAAGCAAGATCACCTTAGATACCTCCTCATTTCTCACGTGGCTGAACTACTCTGGGACATTTCTGACTCCTTTACCACGGTTGCAAACTATACTTCCCCCTGGCCCTTTTCATTCTTTTGTGAGTTGTCTTCCTCCATTAGATTGTAAGCTCCTTGAGGGCAGGGACTACCTTTCTATTTTAGGATCAGTAGATAATCATTGTAAAGCACTTAGCACAGTGTCTGGCACTTAATAAGTGCTTAATAAATGTTTATTGACTATTGATTCTTATTCCTCGTGTAATCTTGAGTAAATCGCTTTAGTTTCTTCCAGAAAATGAAGACATTAGGCTAGATAGACTTTCTTCCAGCTCTACATCTATGAGTTTGTGATGACCTTCCACTCTTGCTCCTTTCCCCAGAGGCACCCTCCCTCCATCCCCACTCCACCATTAATGTTCTCTTTTCTCAGGACTCTCAAGTGGTATTGAAGGTCCCCTAATGCTCAGTACTTTTTCCTCTTTAAAGTCTCCATCTCTCTGACCTACCAACCTTACCCTGTTTTCCTGCCCTAACAAGTCCTCTCCCCCGTTTAAAACAATAACTTGCTAGCCCAGGAGCTATGGCAGCAATACCTCATCCCTTTGACTTCTGTTCCCATTTGGAGGCCTTGTAATGGAGGAGCTGCCTAAAACCTTGACCCTGAAAGTATGTTATTTGTCATCCCTGTGTTTGGTGGGCAGTGACTGGTTGGCTCATCTTTGGGACTTATGAATGAGAGGCCTTATAGAAAAGTGCTATTGGGACAATAGCAGCAGCTGCCAGAGTGTTATTATTAGGACATAGCTTGGTTTTTAGTCATGCAGCTATGACTTTCTCTTTGTTCCACTGAGGGGGCTCTGAAGGAGTCAGCCAAACTGGGGAAGCGGTATTACTGGTTTGTGGGGAAAAAATGTTGCTGTCTGAAAGAATCTCTTAACCCTTAAACCTATTTGAATCAGCCACCTACTTCTTCAGATAAATAAGGACTTTTTCTAAAATAAGGAAAGCAGGAAAATAAGGCTCTGTGTCTTACACAAGCTAGGTTCTCTGAAGGGCACTGTTCAGAAGCATCTAAATCTCCCAGATAGGCTAACTAGCAGAGCCAGAAGGTCCTGGGGAAAGGGCAGCCTGTAGGTAAGCTGAAAAAAGCTCCTCAAACTGCAGGTTTTTTTTTTCCCAACCACAAACACTCTCCAGGCTACCCACCCTGCATGATGCCATGGGGACCAGTGGTTGACAACAGACAGAACCAAGAATTCTGCTTGTGATTAGTATTCATACTGACTTTTTCACTTGGTCATAACAATCTGAATGAATATCTGATGTTAATCAGTCCATTGAGTGGCATTTATTAAGCTCTTACCAAATTTCAGCCACTGGAAGTGCTAGGGATGCAAAGAAAAACTACTGTCCTTGCCTTCAAGGAGATCACAGTCTAATAGGAAAAATAACATGCAAAAAAAATGCAGATACAAAATATATATACAATGTCAGTGAAAGTCAAGCATCTTTGACTCCTGGCCCAGGACTCTGGTTGAGTCTAGGGCTTAGGTCTTGTTTGGCATTGACCTATCCTAGAGCAGATCTAGACTTTGGGGACGGTTCCAGGCTACACTGTTTCCTCCAATCTTCCACCTTTAGGGTTTGACCCTAGTTTTCCTTATTTAATCTCTGGTTGGGTCTCTGGGTCCAACCCAGACCATAATGACATCAAGACAATTTTTTCTTTTGGAATAGTAACTCTGTCTTCAAAGATGTCATTTTTTCCCCCTCCAGGCATGTTAGGTTGGTCTCATTGATGCGGTGTGTGGCAATTTTCATGCTGAAGAGTAACTGTCCCCTCCTCTCTAATAGAAGCCTAAAGATTCCCCACCCCAAGGAGGGCACTGTGGGAACAGCCTCCTCATTAAACTTCAATTACAAAGAAACAGATTTCATCACATATCTTCTGGATCTTCCCCTTTGCTTCTCAACTAGGGAAAGGCTAAGGTGCCATCTAGTGGGTGGCTTCAGAATGCTTCAGATGAGCCGACCAGGCAACGTCTGGGTCCCCTGTAAGATTAGAGCAAATGAACTCTGGATTTTAAGGGTTAAATATAGTCACTTGATCGTCTAGCATCTCATTCCACCAAGAGTGCATTTTGTGGGGGGTAGATAAAAGGAGACCGAGGGTGATGCAGACCAAGCTAAGCAGATGAGTGACATCTGTGGGCTTGCTGCTACCCCACCCCCTTCCCCTAGAGAGGACTATCTCTTACCGTTGATGCTTCCCTTCTGCTTGAGCCCACGCCTTCCACTGATGCTTCTTTCCCCTGAAAGACCATTAATATTATCTTCTCTTAGAAGTCTCATATAGTGTCGAAAGCCTCCAAGCCTTCCCCCATGCTCCCCCCCCCATTTCTGGGGGAACCATCAGATCCTTCACGTCCAAGTTCCTTCTCACCTCCTTCCTGCTCGGACATTCTTGGTGTTGCCCAAGCATTGGAGATTCTATCTCCGACACTCCCCCTTTCCCCCCCAATCCCTGTCCTTTCAGGGCTCAGGGTCAACTGGTTCAAGGAGGCTGAAACCTCAGGTCTCTGACAAGCTCAGGTCTTGGAGGGGTTCAAGGAGATTTGGGATACAGAGATTTTCAGGGCCCAAGGTCCTAGGAAGATTCAGGACATCTGTTAGGGCTATCTCTACTAGATTACAGAATTTCTGCGAGCTAGTTTGGGAACCTAAGAACTGCCTATATGTTTGTTCCACTGAGAATATAAATTCTGAGTTGCAAATAATTGATCTACAAGTGAACTTTGGGTAAGTCAAGGACCGTCTATATTATTAACCCCCAAATCCAGCTTCCTGCCCCCAGAATACCCTTCCCTTTTTGGTTTTCCAGCCTAATTCAGGGCCAGGACCACCTTGTTGTGGACATATGAAAACAATGATGGTAGTAATAATGTCAATAAGAACCAGCATTTCTATAATGTGTTGAGATTTGCCGAGCAGTCTATACATACTATCTTATTTCATCCTAACAACCCAGTGAGGGAAGTGCTATCATTATCCTCATTTTACACATGGGGAAACTGAGGCTGAAAGAGGCTAAGTAATTTGCCCTGTGTCACACAGTGTCTGAGGCAGGATTTGAATCCAAGTTTTCCTGACTCCAATTCCAGCTCTCTATCCAAGATTTTACCTACGTAAATTGCTAGTCTTGTTTTTTTTTTTTTTTTGGTGAGGCAATCAGAGTTAAGTGACTTGCCCAAGATTGCACAGCTAGTAAGTGTCATGTGTCTGAGACTGAATTTAAACTCACATCCTCCTGACTCCCAGGCCAGAGCTCTATCCATTGTGCCACCTGGCTGCTCCTATTTGCTATTCTTTAAAAAGAACTGCGTCAGAAACAAATATTCTCAGTAGATAATGTCTTGCCTTCCACTTGCAGATCTGAAAACAGACAGAAATGAGCCCTAGGATGAGAAGGATCCCAATGCCTCCCACATCCTGTGTCCAGCTATTTAGATGCATCCACCTTGCTCCTATTGCCACATCTCAGGGGCTTGGTTTTCTGAATCCCTCTGGGCTCTTTTCAGGTTTTCTAGTTGTCTGCTTACATCTATCTTCCTGGGATTTACAGGCAGTACAATGTACTACCTAAGCTGCTGAGGATTATCAGCTCTGGTAGAATCAATACAGTCATTGTTTTATTTAGGGGCTGTGTGGGGGTGAGAAGATGAGGGCTTAACTGTCAACCAGACAGCCTGAAGAGGTGGATTTTGAACGAGCCTGAACACACAAAGCCTGTGTACGTCTGAGAGGTGGAGCGGTGGAAAGGAAAGCATGTTGGAGTTACAAAGATGATCTGGGTTCAAATCCTGCCTCTGCTGCTTATGCTTCTATGACCTCAGGCAAATCATTGACCTCATCTGTAAAATGAAGAAGTTGGATTGTATAATCCTGATAATCTTCTCCTTCTAACTCTCTGTAATTCCATAGTGTGGACTTGATAAAGTTTGACATGTAGACAGCAAAGAATGGGATCTTCTGCTAGCTGTTATATCTTTGTGTACAGATAATTTTAATTCAACAAGGCAATGAGTATTTATTAAGTACTATGTGCCAGACACTTAAACATTGATGGAAGATACAAAGAAAGGTAAAAACAGACCCTGCTCTCAAGGAGCTCCCATGCAATATAACACGCTAACACGGTATACACAGGATAAATTTGAGGTGAACTTGGAGAGAAGGTGCTAATATTAAGGGGACTGAGAAAGGCTTCCTGTGGAAGGCAGGATTTTAGCAGATACTTGAAGGATGCCAGGAGTGCCAGGAGCAGGAGAGGAAGAGAGAGAATTCCAAGCCTGGGGGACAGAAGCTGCAGCTTCTTATGAGATTGTGTCACTGAATCACAGGAGGAGCAAGGTGTAAGAAGACCCAAAAGGTAGGAAGGGTCGAGGTTATAAAGGTCTTTAAAAACCAGGGGAGTTTATATTTGATCTGGGTGGTAATAGGGAGCCACAAGGGTTTATTGAATAGGGCAGCCAACACACTGTTAGACAGGCAATTTAGGATGATCACTTTGAGAGCTGAGTGAGGAGAGACTGAAGTCAGGGAGATCAAACATAAGGATTTTGCAATAATCTAAGTGTGAGGTGATGGCTGTTGGGTGTTAGCAGTGCCAGAGGAGAAAAGAGAGCATATAATAGAGATATGGAAGGGATAGAAGCAACAGGACTTGGTAATAGATTGCATACTTCAAGCTTATTTACAAAACAAATCAATTAGGAGGTAATTATTGGCTTTTTTAAGGATAGTGGACACTTTAAATAGCAAATTTAATAAAGTTTAAAGGAGGATTTAATTTATAAAAATGTAATTTACACTCAAGTTTTCAGAAATAAAATTAAAGAAAAATGAGATAATATAAAGTGATTTGTCTTATATTACTATATAAAGCATAGTAATACTTTATTATTATAAATTAAAATGTTATATATAAATATGAAAGTTACATACAAAATGTTCTATGTAAATATCGACTATTATCATCATCATTACTATTAGTTACGATTACAACTATTGAGTAAAGCAAAGTACACCTACATTCAGGAGATTAGAAATTTGGTCTGAGAGAAACATCTATCACAGATCTTTGGGAAAGTTGTATATATATATATATATATATATATATATATATATATATATATATATATATATATGTATATGTATATATATATACTATATATAGTGTGTGTGTATGTGTGTATATATATATATATGTTTGTGTATATATATATATGTGTGCATAGAGACAGAGAGAGGAGAAAGAGAGGAGAGAGAGAAAGACAGAGAGAGAAAGACACACACACAGAAAGAGAGAGAGAGAGAGAGAGAGAGAGAGAGAGAGAGAGAGAGAGAGAGAGAGTATATGAAAGCAAGTAAAGTTTTGTGCTGTGAAAAAATAAGGGGGCTTTTTCTTCCTGGCAAATACATATAATAAAGGCAAAGAATAGGATGGAGACAGGGATAGTGATGGCTTTATTTTCCTCACTAAGCTTTTGTTCTGGCCCCTAGGTTCTTTTGCATGCCAATCAAAGGGGATATTGGAAATGAGGCTCATTTCCATGTTCTAGCCCCTATACAGATTCTGGTTTGTTTGTTTTCGCTAGGAGAGTCCCCAAATATATATTTTAAGGTATCATTTGAAAACAAACCCCAAAACATGAAAAAGTTTTATAAAAAATTTTAGTAAGTCATTTGACCAAAGAGAGAGTTGGAAAAAGGTATGGTTCCCTCCCAAGTCTTTGTACTGCTTGTATTACACACAATTTATATAATAAGGTCATAAGGACAAGCACCTGGTTGGCCACACATAGAGAGTAAGGCAGTTTCCAGAACAAGGTTGCTTAGTATATCAGTAGGTAAATATAAACATTCATTCTAATTTGAGGAATCCAGACACACAAGCTTTGGATGAATGCACAACAAAACCTGGGTGGCATCTAAGCATCCCCTGTATCCAACCAGCTTCCTCAGAGTCTCTGAGATCAATCTGACTTCTGTGGTAAACTTTGACTAAGACAATTTCTATCCACATAAAGACAGGTAATAATACATAATGCATTATATAATATATAATATATAATATATTTTTATATATAATATAATTATAATAATTATAACATATTATATAATAGATAATGAAGTATTTTCCCCACAGAGGACACAGGATCCAATCAGGGATGTAAAAAGGATTAAAAAAATTCCTTACCCTAAGTCATATAGTTGTCTGGGACTAAGACCTTGAATTATCACCAAAAACAGCCAGTCAGAAAGAAAAGACCTAATCTTAGCCTAGGAAATTCTTTTGGCTTCGAGCAGTGGCTCATAGCAGGTAGCAGTTGGCTCCAAGAAGCTAAATAGCTGAAGCCCAGAATATGGTAGTAGAGAGAAGCTTTGTGACCACAAGGCTAAATGAGATGACATGATGCCCAACACAGAAGTGGAATGCCCAGCAGACAGTGGCAGAGAGTAGCTCAATGACACCCCAAAGGACGTTAGCAGCTATGCACCATCAGAAGTACAAGTTGCTCTGGAAACATGCTTCCTATGTGTGTGCCCTCCATGGACACTCCCTTGTAACCTATGTTCTCTGTATGTCTTCCCTCCTCTACTTGTGGGAGAATCAAGTCCATGAATGCATGAGGGGGAATCTTTGTTGCTTTATTTGTTTTGATATTAAACTGAGTGAAAGCAAACATTAGTGGGGGCTTATAAGCTGTGGTTTTGAGCGAGTGCTGACTCACAGAGTACCTCAAACCTGAGGAAGCAATTTTAGGAAGCCACACGAGAAGGCAGTGCCACAGGTGCCACACACATTTCAGAATGGGGGACATAGAAAGGGGAGATGTGCTAGTGAATGGAAGTATAAATCTTAGTCAGTCATTGACAGACTTTAGACTAAGTAGGAAAAGTTCTTCAAACTGGAATGATATTGCACAAGAATCTTGTTTGGATAGGCTGAGGAAACTTGGCCTAGGTGGCCTAATGGTCACCAATAAATTATCAAGTTAGAAATGGAATCATTCCAGAAACTGGAACAGGGCATAGTGTTCCAGCTAAGGCCCTGAGAAGGAATGTCTAGAATGGGAGGGAGGGGGGAGGAGAAACCTCAGCATCATCCTTGGGTCTCCTCCTTCACCACTCCCCTCCACTTCTTTTGGCTGGAGGAAGATATTTTAAATTTTGAAGGACTGGAATATATTAGATTTCCCATCTTTCCATTAGTGATTAGTTCCCATCAGGCAGAAATGTTTGTATTCTGCATCCTGGCCCCTTCTCCCATGGGTGAGATTTTTTTGGGGGGGGATTGGCTTTCATTTTGGAGACCAGCCCAGGCTAGACAGGCTTCACTCCCTTTGCAGCCACACTTGTGGCTCACCAGACATGCCCCTGTTCAGGTACCTTTTCTTCTCCCATTGTCATTTTCTCTACCCCTTCTCACTTTCAGTTCCTTTTATGTCTTGTCTTCCTCCACTAGAATGTAAGCTCCTTGAGGGCAGGGGCTGCCATTTTGCTTTTATTTTTATCCCCAGTACTTAGCACTGTGCCTAGCATGTGTTACTGTTGTTTAGTCATTCAGTCCTGCCTGACTCTTCGTGATTCTGTAGAATGACAATATCGTCTATGGAGTTTTCTTTGCAAAGACACTGGAGTAGTTTGACATTTCCTTCTCCAGAGGATTAAGGCAAACAGAGGATAAATGACTTGCTCAGGGTTACACAGCTAGTGTCTGAGGTCAGATTTGAACTCAGGTCTTTCTGACTCCAGGCTCAGTGTTCTATCTGCTGAGCCACCTAGCTGCTGCCTACCACAAAGCATTTCATAAATACTTATTACCTTCCTGCCTGTGTTGGGAGCGGAGGACAGTAGAGCTATAGCTCTATAAGGAGCCCAGCCAAGAAACTATGCCATGCTTAAGGAGAATTTCTTGCGGATCCCATGGACAATGGGCAGTAACTGGGAACTGTGAGTTACCTTTCTGCCACACTCTTTAGGCTTGAGTCCACTTTCCCCTGGAAGTTATGTGTACTGGTGGGAGGGTGTGTCACACACTTCTGGGGAGGTGTTAGGTACCAACGATTCATAGAGTTTTTATCTTAGTCATTTTTCAGTTGTATCTGACTCTTTGTGACCCAATTTGGGGGTTTCTTGGCAAAGATACTGGAGTGGTTTGCCATTTCCTTCTCCAGCTCATTTTGCAGATGAGGAAACTGAGGCCCAGCATTCCATCCACTGTACCACGTACCTTAGCAAAATACGCCTTTCTGGAAGCTAATGAAGTCTGGTTGACTAAAATGATTCACAGCTGATTATTTTGGAGAGGCAAGCATATTGATACGAGCTTGAACCCATTACCCTTGAGAATCACTATCAACTTCTAAGGGGTATCCCAAGGATCCTGATGGGGAGAAATGACTTTGTTCTGGCACTGAGACTCAGACTCATCTGTGAAGATGAGAATTGGAATAAGGCTCCTAAGAGCTTATATGGACTCCAGTTTAATGTAGACCTTGAGTAACACCTACTCCAGAAATCTGTTCTCACTCTCCAAGTTACAAATGACTTTCCTCTCAAATCTGGCTTAAGGCTTTGTTTATTATAATTCTTTAATATCAACAAGCATTTATCATCAGTCATACAAGATTCCATTTTCTGAGCAGCTAGATGACTCAGTGAATAGAGTGCTGGGCCTGAAGTCAGGAAGACCTGAGTTCAAATTCAGCCTCAGACACTTATAAGTGATCCTGGGTAAGTCACTTATCTCTGTTTGCCTCAGTTCCTCATTTGCAAAATGAACTGGAGAAGGAAAGATTAAGCCACTCCAGTATCTTTGCCAAGAAACCCCCAAATGGGGTCATGAAGAGTCAAACATGACTGAAACAACTAAACAGCAACAACTTTAATGTAAAGGTCATTTTTTTGTTTGTTTTTGTTAGGCAATGGGGTTAAGTGACTTGCCCAGGGTCACACAGCTAGTAAGTGTTATGTGCCTGAGGCCAGATTTGCACTTGGATCCTCCTGACTCCAAGGCTGGAGCTCTATCCACTGGGCCACCTAGCTGCTTCCTATCATGGTCATTCTAATACTGCATTAAAAGTCATCAGTGGCTCCCCGTTGCCACTGACCAAAGGTAAAATTACTTTGAATGAATGAATGAATGATTAAGCACCTTTTAAGCATCTCCTATATAGCAGTCCCTGTGCTAGGTATAAACAGTTCTGCTATAATGGGACATATGCATTCCCCCAAACCACCAAGCTATACAAAATCATGCAATAGAAACTACAGAGCTTATGGAAGAAATGGGATTAGGGGCACAATACTGAAAAATTTGGTCAGTAACATAATATATATAAACCTCATAAAAATGGTAGCACAGCTTTAGACATGTTAAATGGTTAAGAAATGCATAAGTACTCACGAAAAATTGTGGCCACTTCTATTGCCTCAGGGTGCTGCTTGGTTTTTGTTCCAAGCTGCATGAATAAGTTGGGTAGTCCTACAACACTTGTGGGTAGGGCAGGGTGGGGGAGTCCTCTGCCCATAGCACTTTGGGCACAAGAGGATAAACGATAAATACGGCACTTTACCTTGACAAATACTGGAAGTTTGCTTGTGGAAGTGGGTATCAGAAGGCTTGCATCTCCTGACTCACAGTTTTGTGCGTTCTTGTAAAGTAGTGTGGTTATCTATGTTCTTGCTATCTTGTGAATGAAATAGAAAAGAAGCAAACTCAGTATGTGAGTTATGCTCAAAATGATCCCTAATACAGTCACTGCTGCTGTAACACGTGTTCCAAAAGCATGAATTTATTTCAATGCGATTGATGTATTAGGTACAGAAGAAATGACTGTATATTGATTGTGTTGGAATGAATTTGTGTTTTTGAAACATGAGTTATGGTAGAATTTACTGTACTGGGGATAAAAATATAGAAGCAAGATAATTCTTGCTTTCAATAAGCTTACATTTTAACATGGGAAACAATATATATGGGGGAGTGTTGGCCAGAGCAGGGAAGGTCTGGGAAATCACAGAAAAGTGAAGACATAGGGAAGTTTGCTCTTTCCAGAAGCAACAGTAAAATTGATTTGATTACTGTTCTCAGAGCAAGAGGTGTATGTGTGGGGTTGGGGTAAGGACTGAAAGGAGGTGGTGGTATATGTAAGGTGGCAGGGTAGGTTGTATGTAAATTAAATGTTAAAAAATTAAATCTTCATTTAAATATGTTAAACTTGCTTTTTAAAGATATCTACATCCTCCTCCACTTAAATTCTAAAAGCCCAGTTCAAGCTAATCTCAAATGCTAGGATTCTTACCACGGGGTCTAAAAACTTGGTTTAAAATATACATATATGTATATGTAATATACATATATATATATATACATACTACATATGTATATATATTTATAACTGTTTTGCAGCATAATTAGATTCATTTAAAGAAGAAGAAAGCAAGCTGACCAGGATGGCTTCCTTATTCACAGAGAACCCCCTGCACTTTTGGGCATGGAGGCTGGGGGCATGATTTAATTTTGCATGGAGCATGGGGGTGGGGTTTCCGAAGATGAAGTGTCATCTGAAGGCTGGTTGTGGCAACAGAATCAGTGGCATTACTGTTTTCTGCCTCTTCCACTGAAAAGAGCCTCACTCCTCTTTCTTACAAGCGTTATTTGGTACTGTCTACTTAGGTCTCTCCATAGCCTGGTGTTGAGGGACTGGTGCTCTGCACAGGGCTGTCAGAAGGCCTGAACAGGGCTCATTTGCTCTGCCTCGCGCCAGGCTGGGGGAGGCAGGCAGGAGTTATAGGATGTGTTCTTCCTGCACACCAAAGGTAGGGGCTGGTCTGGTTGGGAGACTGTAACATGTCACTGTTGCTGGGGTTGTTCTGTCTTTATTTTCCCCAAGGAGCCAAGTCAGCAGGCTGCTTCTAGGTAATTTTACACCCTGTGCTCCTTGGGTCTGAGGTCTGAGGGAGGAAGATGGCCCAGCCCCTACGCCCTGGCACCCAGAGCATTGAGTGGTGTTTGGGGAGCTCATGCAGAGAGCACTAGCATCCTCTCCACCACCGGGGGCAGTGACAACCTGGCAGCCTTTGGTCACTTTCTTCTCCTGGATCCCTGGCACAGAAATGCGGAGAGGCAGGGCCGGGAAGTGGTGAGGCAGCCGTCCTTACAGGCATGTCAGGATGCCCGAAGAGCCTCACAGACATGCTTTGGCAGCTGCCCGGCTCTCCTGCCCTTCGGCAAGGCTCACGCAAGAGCAGCACCTTGACGCTGTCTCACCACCCCCTGCTGCTCCTGACAGAAGCAGCCGAAGCCAGGGAAGGGTTTGCATCCGTTTGACATTTCCAGAGGGTGGCCTCCTTTTTGTTCTTCCCCTCACAATTAACGAGGTTTCCCGGAGACCCCTCCTAAAAGATTGGTTTTGTCGTTAGAACTGACAAGGAACAGACATGTGGGGGGAGGGGGCGGGTCGAGCCTGAGGCTGGAATCTAAGGCCTCTTTCCTAATGGGTCATTTGCATCATTTCCCTGACTTCAGCAGAAATACCTATTAGATAACTCACAGCAGGGGAAGTACCTGCACTGGGGGAAGTCGGTATCATAAGTAATAGGCCTAAATTGGCAGGCTTCCTCCATAGTCCTACCAATCTTCAAGCATATGGCTGCCTTGGGTCATGTAAAATGTACTGTGGCTTTAATATACAGTTTCATTTGCTTGAATATCAGGCTAGGTACAGATAATCAAAGAATGGCTTGGGGTAGAGAATTTAATATGAGGATCTGGCCTGAGCTGTGGACCCATCTATGTGCTAATGTTGCAATTTCAACCTTGGTCTTAAGGTCAAAATTAATTTAGTGAAAAATATTATTTTGTCACATAGCAGATACCTTTTGGGTTGGTGAGCAAGAATCTAAGAGGCCAGGTAGGGGAGTGAGGGGATCATGGGACATGGCACAGCCCCCGGTTGGCCGATACGGGGTCCTTAAATCTAGAAAGCCAGTGAAAGCAGGGTCTGAGGCAGCCTGGCCTGGCCCATGACTTAGCTGCAAGGATGGTATCTCCTACTGAGTATTTGTTCATGGATCTGTTAATATAACATCACACAGGACAGGCAAGATGTCTGGAACACAGCCTCCTGGGGAGGGAGCACAGAGAAACCTAGCTTCAGGGGAAGAAGGGCATCTCTGTCACTAGCTGTCAAAACCATTGGGAGGTGCTTGGGTGGCTGGTGGCTGGGTGAGGACCAGCAGAAGCCATCCCTCCTGGGAATTCTGCTAGGAACCAGGCATAGAACAGCCACTGACATCTGTGCTGGCCTCTCCTGGGTGCTAGTCAGGCCAGGAAATCTTTGAAATTACCCTCTGAAGACCCCACACACTGACCTGACACCCTGGGCGTCCGTGATTATAGTTCAAATTTCTACCTAAAGCTTTCAGGTTTGTGAAGCCCTTTATGTATAGTTCCTCATTTAAGCCTCACAATAACCTTTCTGAGGGAGGTGCTATTTTTACTCCCATTTTACAGATTAATAAACTGAGGCTCAGAGAGGTTAGTGACTATCCCAGTTGGGATTTGAACTCAGGCCTTTCTGACTCCATGTCTAGTGCTCTCCCCACTACTCTAAGATGCCTCTCAACTCATTTATATGGTGATACACACTTTCTTCAAAACGATTCTGGGAAGTAGTAGTAATTAGAGTACTATTATTATTGATGTCTTAGTAGAAAGCAAACTGAGTCTCAGGAAGGTTGAGTAGTTTGCTCATAGCTATGTGAGTAGTAAGTTTTGGAGACAAGATTCAAATCCAGTTCTTCTAAATTCAAGCGTGAAAATTTTGCCACTACGCAACACTGCCCACATAGGATGAAGGACAAGTGATTCCACTTCAGCCTCTAAGGGATGACCAGGGTCTCCCTTTGGAGGGTTATAGAGGCTCCCGCTATTCCTGTAGTAGGAAAGAGGGAGGATTAGGCTTCAAAGTTAATAAGCAGTTTCAAACACACAAATACATAGGTATGTGTGTACTACATGCATATGTGGTATATGTGTGCATACACTCATACATATGTATAGATGTGTGTATATATATACACACAAAAAGTGTATATGTATACACACACACACACACACACACACATACACGTAGGTGTCTTCATGACCTCATGGACCATAGTACATTAGGCCCTTCTTACCTCCACTATCTGTCAAAGCCTGTCTAAATTAATGTTCATTGTTACCATGATATTATCTATCCATCTCATTCTCTGTCATCTCCTTTTCCTTTTCTCTTCACTCTTTCCCAACATCAGGGTCTTTTCCAATGAGTCTTGTCTTTTTTTCATTATCTGGCCAAAGAATTCAAACTTCAGCTTCGGTATTTGACCTTCCAGTAAATAGTCTGAATTAATTTTTTTAAGTATTGAATGATTTGATCTTTTTTTCTGTTCAAGGGACTCTCAAAAGTCTTCCCTAGCACCACAATTCAAATCGTTGATTCTGCAGCACTCAGCTTTCCTTATAATCCAACTTTCAGAGCTGTACATCGCTATTGGAAAAACCACAGCTTTGACTATACATAACTATATATGCTTTGTAGGAAGGTGGTATCTCTGCTGTTTAGCATGCTGTCCGGATTTGCCATAGCTTTCCTTCCAAGGAGCGAACACCTTTTAATTTCATGGCTGCAGTTGCCATCTGCAGTGATCTTTGAGCCCAAGAACATAAAATCTGACACTGCTTCCATTTCTTCTCCCTCTATTTGCCAGGAAGTGATGGGATCAGGTGCCAAGATCTTAGTTTTTTAAATGTTAAGCTTCAAGACAGTTTTTATACTCTCCTCTTTCACCCTCATCAAGAGGCTTCTTAACTCTTCTTCACTTTCTGCCATCAGAGTGGTATCATCGGCATATCTGAGATTGTTGATATTTCTCCCAGCAACATTAATTCTGGCTTTTGATTCATCTAGCCTGACATTTTGCATGATGTACTTTGCATATAAGTTAAATAAATAAGGTGTCAATATACAACCTTGTTGTACTCCTTTTCCAATCTTAAACCAATAAGTTGTTCCATGTTTAGTTCTAACCGTGGCTTCTTGACCTGAGTACAGCTTCCTTGGGAGAAAAGTAAGACAATCTGGTACTCCCATTTCTTTAAGGGCTTATCACATTTTGTTGTGATCCACACAGTCAAAGGCTTTAGTGTAGTCAATGAAGCAGAAGTTGATGTTTTTCTGGAACTCCCTTGCTTTCTCCATAATTCAGCAAATGTTGGCAATTTGATCTCTAGCTCCTCTACCTCTTCAAAAACCAGCCTGCTCATCTGGTAATTCTCGGTTCACATATTGCTGAAGCCTAGCTTGTAGAAATCTTAAGCATAACCTTGCTGGTATGTAAAATGAGTGCAGTTGTTCAGTAATTTGAATATGACATAGAGTATGCAGGTATACACACATATAATATGTATGCATATAAATATGTTTTATATATATTCATATATAAAACCATATATATGGACTACATATGTACACATACATAGTATATATGTATAACACATGTGTGTATATACACTTATAGATATATACACACATATACATATATGTATATGTGTGTGTATATATATTGTAGTGGAATTTGGGGGAGACCCAAGAGGGTCACTACT